TCGAACCAGATATCTTCATCTCTTGCGTCGGTTAATATTGGTCTACCAGAAAGAGGCTTGTCCAATACATGATGAGTTTGGCGCCATTTTGCCACCAGCTTGGACACTTGACTTGGTACTGCTTTTTTGTTGCCTTTCAATCTGTCTCTTTGGCACCCCAGCACGATGACTTACCATTTTTTGCCATCTGATTACCTCGTTGAGTCCTCTTCTAACCATTGGTTGGTCCAAAATAACAAATTGTGCCCATGAAACTAACCAAACTGGAAGCTCCTCATGGCATGGCCAAACTGTGTTTTTCGCAAGTGGCACCCCCATTGCATATTCTATCGTGTCCAACAGTAAATAGTACTCTAATGTCACAGTCCAGTAAGTCAAAGTAAAAACAAGAGAAATATCTAGCTACTGTACAAATTTTGCCTCAATAAAAATTTTGGTTGCTGAGAAATTCGAGAAATAAGAAATTGTTGCTTAACTTATGAGCATCAGTGTAAGTAAAACTCCCCACTCCCCATGATGGATTCTACCCATACACAAGCTAGTCCCCTGTTCTCCACATCTATTCTGGAGTATCCCACCTGTTCCTGGGTGTTCACATTAGCCACAAACTCCTCCACATCCTCAGGGTGGGAATCACGCCCAAGGTGTGCGTCTGGGACTGGCCCGAAGTCATCTTCGTCGGACACTGCGTCCAGGTGACGGTTGATTTCCTCCTCCAGTCTGGACAGATCCACGTCGTCTGTGGCCTGGAAACCTTCCAATATGGCCTTCCTCTCCTCGGCAGACGGCAACTGGTCACTATGGTGATCATCTGGAAGGTCAATTGTTATGGCCATTACTCGCCAATTTCTAATGCCTTGTTAATTTCAATATTTTGATCATTTTCTACCATGTTTCTCATTTTTAGTAAATTAAAAATATATAAGGTACCTTGCATTTTTAACCAACTACTGACAAAACTTGTCATGAACTTTTGTCACACATTACTTATAAAACATGACAGAATGGCAATATAATTGATAAATTTGGGTATTATTATTTACCACCAATATTTAACTGACTGACCGCATATGCTTGTTTGTAAACTATTCCAAGTTAACAAGGACGTGTTTAACAAAAAAGTTTGCATATATAACTCACAGCTGCCTGCTATCTTCTTGAGATCTGTCTTACAACTGGAGGCAGTGCACACCCAGTTCCCACAGGCACAGACACTGAAATAAGGATATAGGGATTAGGTGATACGCTATCTCACTATATGAGACTTTAATATAACAAATGTTGACTCGATATGACTTAAAGTGTTAAATTCACTGACAGTACCAGGATTTTTATTTTTCATTTTCTTTTTTATTTTATTTATTTATTTTGTTTTTTTATTATTATTATTATCAATTGGGGGGGGTGGGGGGGGAGGAAAACAAGGGTTTAAAGTTTTGCCTAGTTTCACTTGCCCCAGACTCCCCCTGGAACCATTATTTACATTTATAATTGGGGAAATGTGGTGTGTAAAAATCCATTTGTTATGTTAAGCATCTGCAGCTTACTTTTAAGAAACAAACAACAGTGTATGGATAGAAAATCAAATGCAGTTTCAAATATTCTAACTCCTTTCTTGCCAATTTAACCAAAAATAATCTCAAATTTCTGAAACGTTCAAAATCTTTTTAGGCTATTTGGATAAAACAAAAGGAACATTAGAGTAAAACTCAGTCCTTTACCATGTTTTACAAATCCATGCAATGCGACGACAACTTACCAAATGTTACAGTCAACATTTACTTCTGCACCATCAATGTACATTTTGTCTTCAAGGGAACATTCTATAGGAAGGAAATTGAAAAAAAATTTAATCATCAAGTTATTCAATCAATATACCTCCATGAAACAAAAAGATGCCTTTGATTAAAGTATAACATAAAACTGATGAATACTCATTTTCTGCTACAGTTAAAAATATTTTCAAGATTCTTATTGCAAAATATGACTAAACTGAAAACTGATAAACTATTTGTCTTTTGCTACTCTTTACAATAAATATCAAATGCTGTTATTGCAAAAAAAAAAAAAAAAATCTGACCAACGATTGATATATGAACTTAGTCATATCTTTTAAAAGAATTACTATTTCATTTCATAATCAGGCACATAAGTTTTAGGACATACTTTTGGTAGGGGGGCTGTACACAGGATCCATACACTGGCGGAACTCCTCCAGATCCAACTGCCAGTCGGAATCCTCGTCTGACATGATGATCAGAGCATCAACGCACAAACCCCTAGAAATACAGAAACACAATCTGCGCTGAAGCCAACAACACACCCCTTTGTGTTTTCAAAATCATTGTGTTTTCAATTTCTCATTTGCTTCAATCTGAAATAAAGGGTTTTAGAAGTCTTCTCCAATGACTACAACAAATATTGCGATCATATTGAGCTGAAATTTTGAACTAAACCCCGACTCTGTTCCAAGTACACTCACACTTTATTAAATGATAATCTGTCTTCAAATGTGTTGAATACTGTTAGTTCTTCCCTTCTCCATCTCCACACCACTGCCCAGTTTCACAAAATAGTCTTCTTCTTTTTTTAGCTAAAACCTTTAGTTACAGCTAGTGTAGAAAGCTTTGAAAAGTCAACTAGCTGAGTTTGGTTATTAATCAAAGACATAAATTTTTGTGAAATGGGGGGGAGGGGGGGGGCTGTTGTTCTTAACATCTGGGAACCATCTTGCTCCTCACCTGATGATGTGTGCATGGCTTCCACCAGCAGCACCTTTGCCATGGTTACGAACTGTATCGTTTCTCTCCACACATTCAAGGAATTCAACGGCACTCAGCTTGTTGTTTTGGTTTTTATCACATGCATGAAAATTCTCAATGAGGACCTCTGTGTAGTTCTTGCCTAGAATGGAATATTTCAGCTCTATTTATTTCCAAAATGTCAAATAGAGAAAATGGAAGCAGCATCTTTCAGCAACTCATTTAATAATTTGAGATAATTCTAGAAGAATAAATTTGAAGAATTAGTATTTAAGGAAAAATTAAAGCTTTGAATATAATTTTACTTTACAGTTAATGTATTAGTTTTCTCTTTTAAATGTGAATTGAAAAAGTATGTATTTTATTCAAAACAAGAAATAGACACCCAAACATATTTAGACCTTTAACGTTTGAATCCATTTTTCTAACAGCTTTTGTTTGTATTTGCTCATCTCTTCTCTTTAGAAAAAACTGGATTATTTACTTCCCTGATTGACCTTGGGCATAGCTGCTTAAAATAACAACTTCTAAAAATTTAAACAATTATTCATTTTATTTTTTTTTAAGTATCTTAATTACCTTTGTAGAACCACCCTTCATCTTCCACTTTAGTTTTAAACCAGTCAATAAGAAGCTGTCTCAGAGAGTCTCTCTCTAATTGGTAACAAACCAGTGGCTTTTCTTCAAGAGAACTCTCATCTTTCTCAGTGGCAGCTTCTTCTTTTACTTTTGCTTGAAAAAACATTAAAAAAACATTAACTAACATTGACTAATACATAACTGTGCATCAGCAGAGGGAACAAAGCCATAAATGATGTATAAATTGCAATCTGACCATTATGTGACTTAAGTGAGATAGACAGAAGTCTCACCTCTTGGGAAAAAAATCAAGCATGATTTCATGAGATTTTGGAATTTCAGAGATAATGGAAGGCTACCTAGTATTTACAGTGTGTCAATGACTGAAAACTGAATACAGAATTTATCCACATTTGTTTTCAGGCCTACTTGTTAGTTCAGCTGAATTACAATCTATTGAACAACAGCACAAATTCACCCTGTTTTGAGTCAGTTTTGTATTGTTTTCAAAGACAACAGGAGTTTCATCCTTATCGCTGAAATATTGACCCCGCCTCAAACATATCCTCACCAGTTTTCAAATATCCTATGACATTATGGGATGCCAACGGCCTTATTTTAGGATGACTTCCAATGGACCATGTCAGGTTTAAGTTACTTAGACTTTGAACACCACCTGGTCCCTGAACTTACTTTTACACGCTCCATCATGGTTCTTGGATATTTTGACTCCTTGCACGCATGCAGCACGGTGCATTTCGCAATGGTTTTCATATGTGACGTCGTTTGTTCCACAGACTGGGTGATGGTGTGGTTCGCATGCTTTCTTACACACACATGTTGGTGAGCCGTCATCAAGCACCGTGCATTCCCGTCCAGCACCGCAGAAAACTGTGGGGCAGACGTTCTTTATTTTTTCACTGTCATCTGCTAAAAATGAAAATGAAAATATAAATTAATATTAAAAGATTAAATAAGAAATGTTAACTGATGGCACATGATAATTCACTGCAAAGAGAACATACAGCTAAGTGACCATATCTTATTACTTAATTAGTAAAATTTACATCTTATACAGCCCAACTTGGGAAAAATTATTAAACAGTAATTTTTTTTTTATAATTATTGTACAGCTTGGATAATGACTTTACAAATGATTAATAAATGCTATTCAAACTGAAAGCAAGAGAGAGAGGGAGAGAGAGTGGAAAAGCTGAAGTCCAAAAGACTCCAGTGTACATACGTATGTTCTGTATCTCAGCACATTACTAACAGGAAAAGCTAATGTTTTTCTAATTCTGTCTTGAGGCACTTTGTATTTTACCTGAGCCCAGATAGTGTTTACCACTGTTATATAACAAACCAATGCCAGAATCATGAATAGGAGTTAGAGTCATTTAACTGTTTACTTAAAACATTAGTAAAAATTAAGCGCCACAGAGATGAGTGAAGTTGTTTAATACAATAACATGTCTTTTTAAAATGAATGTTAAAACATTTATCATTATGGATTAAAGCCTAGCTGTCTGCATCAAAGTCACAAATCACACTATCTGCTCAATTCCTTGACGTAAGAGTTGCAGAAATCTATTTTCTGCTCTATCATTTATTTCTTTATTCATTTCATCAAAACGCTGATAAAATGATAAAATCAAATGATAAAGCCAAATTATACCCAGCTAAGCAGAAATTTCATAAAGTAAAATGTTAGCCCTAGCCTATAGTTGTTTAATTGTCAGTCTTGCCTGGATGTTTTCTCTGTTGCCAGAATGACTCACCACAGATGGGCTATTGATTGGCTCAAATTCTAAACAGCCATTTCTCATCTGCTTCAAATTAACAGCCAGGGCCCAGTTTTATAAAGGACGTTTAGCACTAACCAGTGTTTAACTCTAACCAGACCTAAATAGTCTGTTAGTAAACTGACCTTTAAATAATTATTTAATCCAGTTAAACACTGGCCAGTTAACTAATTGGCTGTTTTCCGTCAGAAGACTGTACATAAAACACATTTTAACCATCTTTTAGTTAATGGGTGTTAGGAGAATTTATCCACTGGTTAGGCTTATCCACTGGTTAGTGCTAAACGTCCTTTATAAAACTGGGCCCAGGCTATGTAACATTATACCACCGTCATTGTAACCAATTGTCATTATTAATCACGGGGAGAATTATTGGGAAATTTGATTCAAGCTTACATCATTCATCAATGTGGTTATTGATTCTATCTTCTGAGGAATAATAAACCCATATTTCAGTCTACTTTTATGATTTAATGGAAAATATCTTTGAAGTCCAGATACAACCACATGCTGCCATTTTGCTTTTCATGTGTGGTAAAAAAATAAAGCTATTTTATTTCCTGAAATTTCTGTGATAGACTGATTTGCAACATAACTTGGCTGTGTATTTATACCTATTTCTTTTGCTATCTGAAGAACATGAATTAAAACTATTAGTTAAATTGATGAAGGACAATTTAGCCCATAATTTTTAGAAGAATACAAATATAACACAGTTAACTTCACAAATTTCATTACTCATTTTTCACTCCAAAATAATACATTTTTTCAAATAAAAATAAAGATGGAGCACTAATTAAGTGAGAGCCTAGCTGTAAATTAACCCCTTTACTCCCAAAACATCATATCAATTTCCTTGTACTCAAGTACATGATTAAATTCAATTTTCTTGGTTTCTAACTATATATGTGTAGGACACTTGGAAAAGGAAACTGCCATCATGACTTAAATCTTTTTCTCATGATCAAGGAGATCAAACAAACCTTTGGTTAAACATATATTAA